AGTTGTTCAAGATTTTAGTGATCGAAGAAGCATCCTCTTGGGAGTCGGTCCCACAAAGCAGCGATTCATCTATCTCAAAGATCCAGCATTTTTCAAGAATTGCGCATGGTGGAAAAGAAAAACACCAGCCTCATTCATTAAATGACTTGCACAATAAATAAATAAATATTAGATTACGCAATATGAAAACAGTTTGCGACATACTTTTCATTAGGAACCATATTTCGACCGCAAAAACAAATACCTCATCCTAATATATATATATATATATATATATATATATATATATATATATGGGAATGTACGCACAATGTGTACCCACACCCACGCGATTGTGAATTTGAAGATGAAGCGATGTTTTGTTTGTTATGTGACAGTGAATGTCTTATTTTTAGCTTTATTTCCTAACGTCAGATTCTGCAACCCTCAGTTTTTGATTTGGAATAACCGGGTCTATAAGAGAGACTCCATTATTAACTAGTAACCAAACCTCTCCATCTTTTGTTTTGTTTCAATTTTTTGACAGAATCGAGTCTTCGCAAGAGGAGGAGGAGGTTGAAGAAAGTGCCAATCTACTCTTTCGTGTTTACACATATGTAAAACACATACGTATATATGCCTATCCACACATACATGCGTGTAGTTATAGCAGCAAACACACCCGTAAGTCGCTATCAAAGCAAGTAGTTTCAATTTGCGTATATAGACGTCCAGATATAGTTTATGCAGATACAAGCAATACCAATGTTTGCACACATACATGCAGATAGAGAAAAATGCACACTTGTTTCCCTCCTGCACAGGTGCGGGTGTAACCAACCATAAGCCAGCAAGAAAAAAAAGTCATATAGAGACATGATTTTAGCAAATAGGAGCATCCATACAAGTTAAAGACAAAACGTAATTTAAAGACCTTTTGCTTGTAAGTACCATAATGATATAATGAATGCAGTTATAATTAGTAAATGTTAGTAAGTTATAACGCGGTAGTTTCAACATTTTTTTTTCGTTAACCATTTAGTAACTGGTTTTTTTGGAGCTATTGAAGGTTTCATTTTTATTTGATTTTGAGATCAAATTAAGCAGTCATTATTCACTAAATTTTTCTATGGGCAGAGAAAATTTTATCGTAACCTACACTTGAACCCGTAGCTAGAAATCATGGTTAATATAATACAGAAGTGGTATTTAATCATAGAAGACAACAACTGAATAAAATATTGAAAGAAGTTATCGAGAGTTGTTGCTTCTTGACATTGAAAGGAGTCACAATGCTGTAGTAGTAGTAGCTATAGTAGTCGATTTTATTCTCTAAAAAGGAGAATTCAGTTTCATTAATAAATTGAAATAAGAAAAGCTAATTGTTAGAAGATGCAGATATTTATAAGCAAATTGAATACATTTTTTTCCACAAGTGAAGAGATTTGATTTTAAACAGAACCAGTTTTTATTAAACTGGATTGTTGACGAATAGGCGCGATCCTAAAAGAAAAAAAAAAAAAAAAAAAATGCAAAAACTTTTACCCTTTGTTATTAACCGATTCTGCAGTTTTTTTTAGTGCTGAGGAAATATACGCCTACTTTTGAGAACATTAGACACACAATATATACATATATATATATATATATATATATATATCTCAGCCCCCAAAAAACAAACAAACAAAAAAAAAAAAAAACAACAACAACAAAAAACAAAGAAAAACAAACAGTTAGTGAATTATACTAGCTAGGATTTCGAGTAGATACAAAAATTTAGGGAGGGAAAATTTATACAGACTTACAAATCCTTGATTATTATTTTTTCTTTTTACCATATATATTGTGTGGGTTCACGATAAATTATTTAAGTTGACTTATATATATAAGTCAAGTTATGTTTTCAGATATTTAGACGTGATGACAAGTGTTCCCAAAAAATCTAAAATTAGGAACAGAGCAAAACAGAAGTCTTTAGATTTAATGAGAGAAAGATTGAGGATTTTCTTTGTGTGTGATGAAGGAAAAGTAGACAGTTTTTTTTTTTTTAAGTAACATTTAAGTTTGTTTATAAATGTAAATATATTAGGAAATCATTAATGAAAACAGTATGAAATCATTGAGATTTCAAAAGAAATGCTTTTTTGAACGATGTATAGATTAAAAAAAAAAAAAAAAAATGTATGAATCAGTGAAGAAGTGACAAAACCCCAAATAAAAAAAAAAAACAGGCTTGGATTTTTTTTTTTTAACTTGAACTAAAAAGCCCTTTACATTACAATCTGAAAATTATGGGTATGCCGATCAATTCATAAATAGAGACCAAAACAAAACAACAACAACAAAAAAAAAATATATTTAATTTTACTATTATTTTTTCCATTTATCGTTTTTAATTTTTTAAAATTAGGTACCCTTCACAACAATTATTCATAGCATAATTTTCGCATCGGTTTAAGTGAAATATTTAAATTTATTTAAAACAAAGTAGATTTTCATTGCAAGTAAAGTACATGATCATAAAATCGTGCTAAGACTTAAAAATAAATAAATGTTGATAAACAAAACAAATCCCCCATTTTGCGACCAACGAACATGAGTCTGGACAATAAGTGATTATTACTCTGGGAAACACATCGAAGAAGGAAAAAAAAAAAAAAAAAAGGTTATTTCCGAAGGGAAAACGGATAATTTACAGCTTTTAGAAATTAAATTGAAATCAGTTTCCTCTTGGAGTCACAGAACAAGGCAAGATGAACTAAAAATAAAAAATAAAAAGAAAGAAAGACACTGTCTGGACAAAAACTTAACAGAAAGAGACAGTTAGAAAAGAAAAAAAAAAAAAAAAAAGGAAGGAGAAAAGAAAAAGTTATTTCCCATGGAAAACAAACAGGTTAGAAAAAAAAATAATAGAGCTATAAAAAATAAAAAAGGGAAATGTTATTAAGGTTCGATTATGGGTCTTTATTTCATAAAGAGTTTTTTTCTTCTATAATTTATAATGAAAGTAACTATTAAAGAATAAGAAAGTGATCGGTAAGACAGCTTTTCTTTTAGCAGTTACAGAAAATAACGAACATTCATTTGCTTTGACAGCTACGTCGCACATGAATTTAAGAAAAAAAAAAATACCGCGAAGTGTAGAGATAAAATATCACTTAAATTAAAGCTGCCATTGCATTTTTTTTAATTTTAAAGTGTAAACCTTCAGGAATTGTGACGCTTTCATTCCAGCAATAATATATGATGCTATTTTACGTATTGTAAGAAGATCGTGCATTGAAAAAACAAGATCTCCACGTACTACTATCAATATATTCTAATGCCGGTTAAGAAACCAATCCTTTATTACGCATCTATACACAAGAGATTTCAATCGATAATAAATGATATCGGTATGTATAAACAATATACGTACATAGATGTTAAAGAAATAAGATCTTTTTTGGTAAATAAATAAAGTTTACGTATTGAAATGACTAAGACTAGATAGACTATCAATGAAATCTTAAGAGAAGAATTTTTTTTTTTTTGTACAATATTATTAAAAGATATAATTAGGCGTACGGGGGCCGTTATAAAGAAGGAATTTGCCCTGAAAATTTTCTAAGTTGCCCTGAAAAAAATTAAAAAGAAAAGTATCTTGTTGGAAGGAAAGTTCACGCGATCTATAGAACATAAAATTTATTTACGAACAGCGAGAACTTGCTTTTCAACCTGATACATTTCATTTGCCCTATGGTGGCGGGGAGCTGACATACCCCATCACCCAGCCTCATACGTGTATACTAGCCCAGACCCCACAAAAGCTAATAAAACAAATTCCCAGAGTTTATTGAAATTAAAGAAGTACCTGTCATCACATGATTGCAGTGTGTAAAAAAAAAAAAAAAAAAAAATACTGTATACATTCGGACAAAAAAAGTCAATTCTGTGAATGGTTTTTCAGAGACTTATTTTTGCTCTCTTTCAATAAGCAACAACAAAGCAAAGATTTTAGTAAATCTTATTAGAATTACTAAAAATGCTAAAAACTTTTCTTCTTTTTTTTTTTAATTATTTTTTTTTTTAACTTACCGTATTTGGCTGCCTTTCCGTTGTTGTCATCTATAATACGTATTGTCGGTATTTCTCCCGCTGGAGACGTGGGTGAGGAAGGTAGAGATCCGTAATCCTTGGCAGGCTGGGCTGCACCACCCCCTTCTTCACCAGTTTCACCGATGCTTTTGGTCGGACTCGAACTACTGCCCCCTTCGGCCGCAAGTGGCACTTCTTCTTCGTTGGCTTGTACCACGGTAAATCTCTGAGGAGGCGAAGACATTTTTTATGGGGGATGTAAAATGAAATTTTAAAAAATGGCTCAAGTTTTTGAAATTTAAACGTCTATATTTATAAATATAATAGATATATCTGTAGGTATCCTTGCCGTTGTTCCTTGTTTGTATAGATTTACATATATAATAATAGAAATCTTGGAGCCGGAGATTCGTACCTCTCCTTCCGTGTGCTAAAATTTCAGTGTGTGCTTTGTACGACTGCTACTGGAAAAGGCTGTAGTCGTAACAGCTATGGTCAGAGCTGTAGTATTAGTAATACTACGTAAGACAGACTGACGTAGAACGAGATGCTAGGAAAGGAAGAAACATATAGACAGGGAAGAAAAATTTACATAGAGAATGATTGAGGGGGAGGAAGAAATTTACTTTTGAGAGAGGGTAAATCTGATATAGAGAGAAGGGATCGACAAAAGGATTGCAAAAAGAAAGAATGGAGAGCGAGTAAAGAATAAAGATTGTGAATGTGGCAGTGAAAATATGAATAAATAAAATGTACAGAAAAAAAGTTTTAGTAATATGGAAAGAAAGGAAAATAATGATTTTTATTATTATTCTTTGTGCACTACTTAAATTTACAGGACCGCTCGTCAAAAAAAAAAAAAAAAAAAAAAAAAAAAAAATTATTCGCGGGAATCCCTTTTATCCCCCACCCTGTGTGGATTGCTATCTATGATGACATTTATTTAGCGTAACCGAAAAAAATTGCTTATTTTTTCTCAATTTAAAAAACAGGGAACCTGTTTATATTATAAATACAGCCTTAAATCGACTGACTTTTGAAAAGGTTATTTTTCTAATTGTTTTTTATTATTTATAAGCGTTAAGTTTGAAACTCTGCTTACGTCATTGATACAAGCGTACGGCTGATGTAATTTAAAAAAAAAAAGAATTAAGTAAAAAAATTTTAAATTGTTTTTTTTAAATTTTTATTTTGGGAAGATTCTTTTGTTTCTGAAGCACTTGCAGAAATATTAACGGATACTAATTATATAGCATACACGAAGAACAAACGGATTTAAATTTTAAATGTATTTAAATTTGAAAATATCACATGATATTCAAAAATGTACCCTCTCGAAATATTAGTCTTGGGTTTAACAATAAATACACCTGGCAGTAAGGCCTCTGATCGGAAGATTGGAAGTTTTGAGGTTTGTGAAGCTATCTCTTGCTGTTATTCCTAGGTCCACCCTGATCTGGGGTGTTAGGGTCCTGTCTATGGGCAAATAGTTAACTTCCAAACAAAAACAAAACACTATGAAAGTATAAAAATACATTTTTATAGTAAAAATTTGATAGAAAAATGGCCAGCAATACATTTTATCTATAGTTGAAATCCTAAAATTGCGTTTAAAATATTTACAACATTTTGGCATTAAATAACCCATAGAGATGTTGATATGCCACTAAACAAATTCAACCAACCAGTTCTCAAGCTCTAGCAGGGAGATGGTGAGCTGTGGCCGAAGCGTGGAGATGGAGACTTGACATTTGTAAATAAAAAAACTAACTACAGTTAACCCTTTAGAGCCAGGAACAGAATAGGCACTGAATTTTATTTTTAATCATTTAATCCCATGCAAGGCGACAATGCCACTAAGACGCAAGTGATTACTGGAAATGAAAGAAAATGAGAAAAATCTAGGAGGAACCGGAAACCCAATTCTAAGTAAGAAACAAGAGATAAATCTTCCAGCTTCACACTCTTCCCCAGTTTTTTTGAACAGGAGTAGAGGGTTATCCCTTAGTTCTTGTTTAGGATTGGGTTTCCGTTTCTTTCTAAAGTCTACTTCAGCTCTATACTAACGTCTCTGCCTAAAACTCTGAACTTTTATTTACTCTTTACTTACATTTTTTCCCTAGATAGGTTCTACCATCGCCCGGTTTATACTCCTCCCCAGCCATTTGAACAGGAGTACAGGTTTGTGTCTTATTCCATATTTAGGACTGAGTTCTCTTTTCCCCAGTAGGTTAGGGTGAATTGATTAAATATATATATATTTATATATATATATATATATATATATATATATATATATATATATATATATAAATCTTCTGTCGAATAGACGAGGGAAAAGTGTGAACTGGGCGATAGGCGAACATATTTACTCTTTGATTTATATTATGAACAGGTCCCTATTTCTAAATTAAAGAAAAATTAGTATTTTTCGCTTCTGAGAAATGCCGTGCTTTGAGGAAAGTCCAATGAATGTTAATCCATAACCCCACCCCTAACAGTTCACCCTGTTTTTTTTTTGTTTTGTTACGAGCCGACCGGCCAATGTAATGTCTCTTCTTTATTAACAAGAACATATACAATTGAATACGCACACAGCATATACAACTTAATACGTGGGTCCACATATATCAAAACAGCAATTGTGTCTCGTGTTATTCATACTGATGATGACGATACGAGATGCCGTAGTTGCTGTAGTAAATATTAGTAGTACAAATAGTACTAAATTAGTAGTACAACTAGTAAACATTAGTAGTACAAATACTGTGAAGTGTTGTTGTTTCCCTAGCAGCAGTAGATTTCATAGTTATTTTCTCAGATTAGCGTATGCTGGTACAAGGCCAAAGGTATCGAGCACTCTAGTTAGAACCGAAATCAATATAATACTCATCAAAGCTAACTATTGTCTCACGAAAAGACGCCTTAAAATTTACAAAGTCGCTTTTATTTTTGCTGCAAGTATGGAACAATCAATAAGACAATGTTGAGAATACCACAGATTGAACATATGATCAATGAGGAAGTTTTAAGGAAAATTGAAACAAAAAGCAAACATACCTAGATTCAGAAAGAGACAGTTGAAATCTGTAGGACACATAATGAGGAAAATAGGCCTGGAGAATTTGACACTCACAGGTCAAGAGTGACAAGGAGAAACAACGAGAAACGTACCTAAGGAGCTTGTGTAAATGTATGACAGAAAAGTATAGTATAAAGACAAAGAAGAGGTATAAAGCACAGGAGTGTTTGGAGAGCCACGATCGCCCATGTCCTGAAGGGACGTGGCACATAAAAGATGTCAAAAATTAAAATTGAACGACGGTAGACTCTTCCCGTTCCGTTCAGTTCGAAATTTCCCGAAGATCAGCAGAAAATCGAAGAAAGCCGGAGAGCACAACAGCCGAAACGCTGTGATAATAAAAACAAAGATGAGGACACTAGTCAGAATGTAAGTCATGTAAATAAAAAGGACACTTGAATTTAGAACCAGAAAGAGACTTAAAATTGCCAGGATACGCAATGAGGAAAGAGTGTTTGGAGAATTTGACACTCATAGGAAATAGTGAAGACAGAAGGAGCGGAGAGAAACAGCGTGTAATCTACCTAATGAGCTTGTGTAAATATTCCTAAGAGCTACAATAGACAGGAAGTTGTGGAGAGCCATGATCGCCCACACCCTAAGCGTTCAGTGAAGTTCTGACTCACCGGTAATAAACTGCAAGATAAGCTCATTAACTGCAACATCATGAGATGTGGGGTCCATATAATTTTTTTATTGTAAAAAAATATTATAATGAAAAATATGGCACAAGGCTGAAAATTGGGGTAGCCTTAACACCCTTCACATTCTGCAAAGAGAGCCTTTTCTTAATATCTGCTGTTTTGTGGAATATACTCCCGTGGGGTTGTTTACTCGAACGTAGCTTTCGAGAAAGCAACCACACGGGAGTCTTCAAGAAAAGGATCAGTTATTACGCAAGCTTTTTATCCACTGATCCTCACTTCCTACTTCCAACTCTTACATTCACATCACATTTTATTCAGTAATGGTCTACTTTGAGTGGCTCTTGCATTTTTTATCAGGTGAAAAAACCTAATATCTAGTCGCATTCAACTATACTTTGTTCTTCCTTTCATTTTTAACATCGCATTTATTCTGAATTTTTTTTTTGTTTCTTCTTTTATGGGCCGTATCTCTTCAGGACATGAACAATTATGGCTCTCCACAACTTCCTATTCTTTATAGCTCTTGGCAATGTTTAATCTACGGTGTTAGATTGTTTTCATTTCGGTGACCATGTCTAAGGATCCCTCGTTTCACTCACCCTGTTTCCTCTAGGTCCAAGTACACACTGTCCGTTCTCAATTAATGTCACCAATTTCACGAGCCAGCGTTTTAATCAACTAGGCTATTGTTTCACAGTAATTGTGAGTTGGATGATTCAAAAAATAGCAGCCGAAACGTTATGATTATAACATCAAAGATGAGGATAATAGTCTGCATGTAAATAATGATGACTCCTTTTCCCAGAAAATCAGACAAAAGTTGATCGGGTGATAATAACAACAAAGATGAGGATAATAGTCTGCATGGACATAATGATGACTTCCCTTTCCAGGAATTTTTCCAGTTACTATTGGCGTGACAATTCATTAAATACCAACAAAGAATACTCAGTAAGGTGTTGAAGTATTGAGCAGACAGTAGCACCAATCGTTGTGGGAAGACAAGGAATTATCTTGAAAAGCATTCTGAAAGAGATAGAGGAAGAATGGAGATAATCCAGACAATGTTACAAATGTATAAGATAAAAATACTGAAGAAGGTGCTGGATTACAGAGTAGACCTGCTGTCAGCGAGTAAATAATAATAATAATAATAATAATAATAATAATGACTTCACGAGAGATATCAAAAAATGTAGACGATAAAAACTGACAGTAGTGCCAATCGTTGTGAGAAGACTAGAAATGATTCCAAAAAGCTCTTGGAAAGAGATGAATGTACTGGAAAACTCAGGAAAAATGGTAATAAAATGTCCAATTGGAAACGATTACAATACTGAGGAGGGTGCTGGATCATTGAGTAAACTTTCTGTCAACCAATTGTGTTAAACTATGATTGAGTAAATAATAATAATAATAATAATAATATTAATAATAACAATATTAATAATAATAATAATATTTCTAACCTTAGGTCCCTGGGCGGGACCCGGAAAGAAATGTGTAAACGCCAGA